AATATTTACCTATGATATATCTGACAAAGAAATTATCTCCAAAATCTATAGAAAATGTCAACACCTTAACACCAAAAAGACAACCCTATTCAAAAATGGGCAAGAGACATGAACAGATACTACACTAAAAATGGTATGTTGGTGGCCAACAAATACATGAGGAATTGCTTGTGATCTTTAGTCATTAGAGAGATGCAAATCAAAACAACTGTGAGATATCACCTCACCCCAGCAGTAATGTTGTTGTTATTATGTGCCGTCGAGTCGGACCCAACTCATAGTGACCCCTCCTTGGATTTCTGAGGCAGTATCACTAGGGAAGTAGGTTGCCCAATCTTCCTTCTGAGGAGTGGCTGGTGGGTTTGAACCGCCAGCCTTCTGGTTAGCAGTCAAGTGCCTTAGGCACTACATCAATAGGACAGAAAATAACAAATGCTGGTGAGGTTGCAGAGAGATTGGAACACTTATACACTGCTGGTGGGATTGTAAAATGGTATAACCATTGTAGCAAACAGTATGGCATTTCCTTAAAAACTGAAAATAGAAATACCATTTGACCCAGCAATTCCATTACTACGAATATATCCTAAAGAGAAAAGAGGCAGGACACGAACAGACATATGCACACCTATGTTCATTGCAGCACAATTCACTATAGCAAAGAGATGGAAACAACCTAAATGCCCATCAACAGATAAATGGATAACCAAATTAGGGTGCATTCACACAATGGAATATTATGCAACATTAAAGAACAATGATGGATACGCGCATCATCTCACAACATGGATAAGCCTGGAGGACATTATGCTGAGTGAAGTAAGTCAATTGCAGAAGGACAAATATTGTATGAGCTCATTACTGTAAAAAGACAAGGAATGGTTTGCTTAAGGAAGGGAATTCACTTTGTAGGTTACCAAGGTGGGGAGGGAGGTGGAGGGAATAATTTCAGGCTAGCTGAGGACCACACGCTGAGATGGGTAAGGGGAAGGATGATATGGAAAGGGTCTGTAACCACCATGATAAAATTAGGGAAAGGGAGGACACCAAATTGTGCACATAGACACAGACAACAGAGGCTAATACCAGTATATCCACAATACTGCATTACTATTAACACCAAGCATCAGGCTACAGATAAACACATATTCATCTGAGATCAGATGGGGGTCAGTGAACAGTATTATACTGTAGACCAAGGAGCTCTGGTAGCATAGTGCCTAAGGCACTTGCCTGCTAACCAGACGGCTGGCTGTTCAAACCCACCAGCCACTCCTCGGAAGGAAGATGGGGCAATCTACTTCCGTAGTGATACTGCCTCGGAAACCCAAGGAGAGGTCGCTATGAGTTGGGTCCGACTCGACGGCACACAGCAACAACAACAAGGATAGATTCAGCTGAGGCTAATCTTGCACAGATACCAATGATACAAAATACCAATGATACAAAATACCTGCAATCCTTACAGAAACAACAGAAGACAGACAAAGAACAATCCCTCACAGACAGCCAGATACAGTGGGAGAGAGATCCAATAGATCTACCAACTCAGGACCATAGTATTGGGGGAACACCAGACTCAATTGGCACAACAAAATACCTACAAATCTTGTTCCACAACCTACATTGGTGAGTAGTGACTGGGGTCTTAAAAGCTTTCGAGTGGCCATCTAAGATGTAGCTAATGGTCTCCTATCATAGGAAGTGAAGAAGAGTGCAGAAAACCAAAGGCATTTGGAAGCAATCAGCCCTAGGACATGATGGACCTCGAGACCAGAACTAGATGGTGCCTGGCTACCAATGCCAACCACTCAGGAAAGGATCAAAACTGGAGATCCTGGCTAGAATGGGCAGAAAAATGTGGAACACAATCCAAAAATACAATAATGACCAGAATTACTGGTTGGATAAAATCTGGTGGCACCCCCAATACTATGGTCCTGGCATACACTTTGGGCCTGGAATAAAACTCACTCCCAGGGGCTGGCTGTCAGCCCAATAGTAAATAAGACTGACACTCAGACCACTCAATCCAGGGTGATGCACCCACATACTCTATGGAGAGGCATCCTTTGGAGCAATTGACCATAAGGCACCAGAGGGGCAACATTCTCTTGGAGGAAATGCAGGACACACAGGAGTGCATAACTATGAGGGGCAGGAAGGAGAGTGGGTTAGGGTTGGGAATGGTAATTAGGGAGTGAACTAGAAACACAAAATGTTGAATGTACAACAAACTCTATACAATAAAAAATAAAATTCAGTAATTTTAATTTACTTATTGTTTTGGTACTCTAGTGGTATGCTAACAGAAAATACCACAGGTGGATGACTTTAACAAACAGGGATTTATTTTCTTGCAGTTCAGGAGGCTAGAAGCACAAGCTTAACATGCCAGCTCTAGGGGCTGGGTGAAAGCCCCTCAACCTTGGGCTTCAGCTCTGCCTTTTGCCCCCAGCCCACTGAAGCTGGGGCTATCTCTTAACTCAGTCAGCTGCTGCCTGCTGAGGCTGACAAACCCAAAGCCGACAAGTAAAATGGCACAGTCCCAAGATAATCAAGCAACATGGCAGGCCACTTGTTCAAGTCCAGAAACAGTCCCAAGCTCAGGAGGAAACATGGCCGGCTGCGGAATGAAGACTCCAAGCATGCCAAAAAGCTCCAGAGACCTTTCTCAATACTTCTTCTTCTACACTGGAAGCAGATATCCCTAAGGCAGCTTCTCAGCTGCTCCAGTAGTTCCCACCATGGAGTTGATTACCAGTCTCCTTTTGGGGAATAACTACATCCAGCTGCCCAGCCACTCAAACCAGGTCCAGCCAAGTTGACACACAACCTTAACTACTACACTCATTAATTTTTTTATTGTGATTTGAGTGAAAGTTTACAGAGCAAATCCATTTTCCATTCAACAGTTCATACATATCTGTGTTTTTTTTTTTGTTTTGTTTTTTGTTTTACTGCTTGTTTAAGCTGTTCTTTTAAATCTCAAAAGAGATGGAAGCAAAACACACCCTGCCCTAATCTTGCCTCATTAACATAGCAAAGAAAATCCATTACCAGATGGGTTTATAAACAGGGATGTAGGGGTTAGGATTTGCAACACATATTTTTGGGGATGCACTTCAGTCCATTACAGGGAAGAGTGATGCCTGGGAAGCTGCCCTGTGAACATGCACCTCTGGTGGTTCATGAATGAAAAAGTAGGGAAACATCCGCTTTGGTCCACCTGCTTATTTTATAGATGAGAAGCCTGCACCCCAGAGAGATGAAGTAATGTGGAGGCGTGCACACAGAACCAGCAGTAAAGACTTTGACCTCTAGTTTGGTGGGTTTTGTACATCTAGCTGTCAGACTTTGATGTCTGCTAGAGTTTAAACAGGCTCCTTTAAATGGGAAAGGAAGCAGTGGTTCCCGGCAGGGCCCCCGGTCGTGCTGTGGGTCTTGATCTTCATAACCAATGTAACCCTTTAGAAAGTGAGCAAGAGCCCGGATCCTCCCAGCCTCGGAGCTTCCACCAGAACCTCAGAGTCCAGCCACAGCAGGATGTACTGGAGGCAGGAACGGCAGCTTGCTTGAACCCGCTGGCTCCTCCCTCTTACCCCACAGTAACCTGGACAGTTGCCTCTTGTATGATCCCTCCCAGGAGCTATTTCAGGGCCTGGCTTAGGGCATGGAAAGATTCCTCAGTTTTGCCAAAGTGAGGGTTACCAGATGGCTGTCACTGGCGGAATGCATGAGTACAAAGATTACAGATCTCTGTTTTGGGAGGAATCTTATTTTTTGTGTTCCTGATTTCTTGGAATATGAAGGCTTCACTCTCAATTAGTAAGGGGGGGGGAAAAAAAAGATGTGAATGAGGTCCTGTCCAGATGGGAAGCGGGTGTGTGCTTTTTAAGCACTCACATCCATGGCCTGGGGGGGGGGGGCGGCGTTGCCAGGGATGGGCTTGATGGTGATTCGCTGCTGATTTAGAATTTGGCTGGTGGTGCATCATGCAGTGAAGACCCTGCACTCCCCTGAAACAGAACCTGCCCCTGCCCCTGCCCCTGCCCCTGAGCCTGGGGACTGAGGAGCTGCATTGCATCATCATCCCTCAAAGCCTGATTTTCTGGGTGACATTGAGCTTTATTGTGGCCAGAGCTCTCTGGGCTCTGGGTCCTTTGTCTTTCAGATAAGGGTAAGATTTGGTCGAGGTGTTAGGAACTGGGCTCCATGCTGCTCTGCTTTCAGGGCTGTGTGTCCAGGGTCCAGGTGGGGTGCCAAGGGAGTGAGAGAGTAGAGAGCACTAATCCCCCCCCCCCCCGCAATTGTACCTTTGAAATTTAAGCTCTCTCTTAGCGGCTATATATTTGTGCTTCTGTGTAAGGTTTTGCTTGAAGAACAGATTCTGGTTTAAGTAAATCACCTGTGAACTAGGTTCATTGTTCCAGCTGTAAATGGTATAGTCTGGAGCAACTTTAAAACAAAACAGAACAGCATGCATCTCTTCTTTACTTCCCATCACCCCGCCCAGATACTCTGATTAAGTAGGTCTAGGATGAAGTCTCTATGGGCTCTAGTGGCACAGTGTCTAAGGCATTTGGCTGCTAACCAGAAGGTTGGTGGTTCAACCCACCAGCCACCCTGCGGAAGGAAGACCGGGCAATCTACTTCCGTAAAGATCTACTGCCTCAGAGACCCAAAGAGGGTCGCTATGAGTTGCAGTTGACTGAATGGCAGTGAGTTTGGTTTTTGGAGTTAGGTTGAAGTCTCAAGCTTTGGTATTTTTTAAGAACTCTGTGATATTATAACACTCAGCAAGGTTAAGACACTCTAAACTGGGTCAAATCTTAGTTGCCTCTAGTGTGAAATTCCATGCTAATGACTTCTGGTTCCCCAAAAGGAGACTCACTCAGACTGCACTCTGCTGGAAGAGGTTAGAGGGTCTGGGTAGCAAATGTCTAAAGAACCCCTCACCCCATAGAGACCCTTCCCTCTGACCTCATTTTCCTTCCCAGGCATGCCAGGGAAAAACAACGTGGCAGCTGCTTTGCGCCAGGCCCCTGGGCAGAACGGTACCAGCTTCCATGGCTGCATCCGAAACCTGTACATCAACAGTGAGCTTCAGGACTTCCGAAAGGTGCCCATGCAAACAGGCATCCTGCCTGGCTGTGAGCCATGCCACAAGAAGGTGTGTGCCCACGGCACCTGCCAGCCCAGCAGCCAGTCAGGCTTCACCTGTGAGTGTGAGGAAGGATGGATGGGGCCCCTGTGCGACCAGAGGACCAATGACCCCTGTCTGGGAAATAAGTAAGTTCCGGCTGCTTGATAGTTGAACACATGCTGATAAACCCTCAAAGCACCACCCAGGAAATGAGGGGAGAGAGGGAAAGAAAGAGGCAACCATTAGCACCAGGGTCCTCATATTCAGTTAACCATGTGCCTCCATTTTTTAAAATTGCTGTGTTGTGGTAAAATATATATGATGAAACATCAGTCAATTCAACATTTATATGGACAGTTCCATGACAGTGACTGTGTTCAGCCTGTTGTGCAGACATTACCACTGTCCTTTCTCCAATCAGTCCACAGCCACTAACAGAAACTCAGTGTCTCCTCAGCAACCACTTAGTTGTCAAGAAGTCATTTCCAACTCATCATGACCTCGTGTGTTACAGAGTAGAATTACACTCCAGAGGGTGGTCATGGCTGTGACCTTTCAGAAGCATGTCACCGGGACTTTTTCACAGGTGCCTCTGGGTGGCAGACCATTGTTAACCTTTCAGTTAGCGGCCAAGCACTTAACCTTTTGCATCAGCCAGGGATTCCTCCCCCAAAAAAGAGAGCCCCGTCCCCACCCTGACCCGCAGTTCTTCTTCCCTCTCACCCTTGTTGTTGTTGTTGTTGTTGCTATGTGCTGTCGAGTCGGCCCTGATTCATAGCGACCCCTCCTTGGGTTTCCGAGGCAGTATCACTATGAAAGTAGATTGCCCAACCTTCCTTCAGAGGAGTGGCTGGTGGGTTTGGTTAGCAGTCAAGTGCCTTAGGCACTATGCTACCTAATAAACTTTGGTCTCTATACATTTTTCTATTTCGTAGAAGTGAGATCATGCAGTATTTGTCCTTTTGTGACTGATTTGACTCAGCATAAATGTTCTCAGGGTTTATCCATGTTGTGGCATCTATCAGGACTTCATTTCTCCTTATGACTGAATATCCCATTGTATGCATGTACCACATTGTGTCTGTCCATTCATCTGTTGATAGATATTTACGGTGGTTCCCCCTTTTGGCTGTTGTGTACAGTGCTGCAGTTAACATTGGTGTATGGCTCTCTCCATTCTTATCTACTCCACCTAATGCATTTCCATTCCTGCCCTTCGCTTCCTTGCAGGTGTGTCCATGGTACCTGCCTGCCTATCAATGCATTCTCCTACAGTTGTAAGTGCCTGGAAGGCCACGGGGGAGTCCTCTGTGATGAAGAGGAAGATCTTTTTAACCCCTGTCAGACCATCAGGTGTAAGCATGGCAAGTGCAGGCTCTCAGGAGTTGGGCAGCCCTACTGTGAATGCAGCAGTGGATACACTGGGGACAGCTGTGATCGTGGTAAGTCAGCTCAGCTGAGCGCCTCCATCTCTTCAGAAGGCAAGAAAGTCTTCCATCTTTGAAAGCAGAAACAGGCAGAAACATACAGGAGAGATGAGACAATATCTGATCTTTGCATTCTTGCAGATGCTGCCATTAATTACTTTTCAAGTGTTAGGAAGGTCCAGACAAACAAAAAGCAGACTCTTGTCATAAGTCAGCCCCATGCCATCTCAGGGAAAGCCCGTGTGTGACAGAGTAGAACTACTCCACAGGGTTTTCTTGGCTGTATTACTCCATAGCACCACTGGATAAGTTTGAATTACCAATCTTTACATTGGTAGTCCAGCAAACTGAGACCTTCCTCTTGTTGTTGTTGTTATGTGCCGTCGAGTCAGACCCGACTCATAGCGACCCCTCCTTGGGTTTCCAAGCAGTATCACTACGGAAGTAGATTGCCCCATCTTCCTTCTGAGGACTGGCTGGTGGGTTTGAACCGCCATCCTTCTGGTTAGCAGTCAAGTGCCTTAGGCACTACGCTACCAGAGCTCCTGAGACCTTCCTAGGAAAGTTGTTGATAGATGCCATCAACTTGGTTCTGACTCACAGTGACCCTGTGTACAACAGAATGAAATGTTGCCTGATTCTTCTATCCTCATGTTCCTTCCTGTGTTTGAGTACATTGTTGTAGCTGCTGTGTCAGTCCATCCTGTTGAGCCTCTTGCTCTTTTTCACTGGCCCTCTTCTTTACCAAGCATGATGTCCTTCTCCAGGGACTGGTCCCTCCTGATAACATGTCCAAAGTACGTGAGATGAAATCTCATCATCCTGCCTCTGGATGTACTTCTTCCAACACAGATTTGCTCATCCTTCTGGGGGACCATGGTGTATTCATTATTCTAGACCAATACAATAATTGAAATGTATCAATTCTTCTTCAGTCTTTCTTATTCACTACCCAGCTTTTGCATGCATATGAGATGATTCAGAATACCATGGCTTGAGTTGGCACACCCTAGTCTTCAAAGTGCCGTCTTTACTTCTCAACACTTTCAAGAGGTCTCCTGCAGCAGATTTGCCAATACAACACGCCTTTTGATTTCATGATTGCTGCTTCCGTGGACGTTGATTGTGGATCCAAGTAAAATGAAATCCATTTTTTAAATTTTCTGTTTATCGTGATGAAAATACCAGATATGAAGTACCCTAAACTTCCACCTCAGGATTTTACCTGGCCTACAGATATTTCCTTACAATCGGATTTGTTGGCAAAATACTCCTTACCTTATGTAGACACTTTATGTACCTTGAGCTTTGCCTGCTCTTCTCATGTCTGAGTATTACTCCTTCGCCTGTTTGCACAGAGATGACGGAGCTAATAATTCTGCTTCTGGCTTTTGTACAATGTCACCTTTGGCCTGCAAATCAGCTGATTTATCAGCAAATTCTGCAGTTGAGAGGGATGAAAAGGGGCTGACTTTTCTGCCCACCTCTTTCTCTCTCTTCTGCGCACTCAGCACTTGCCTGGCCCGCAGCTGGCATGCGTGGTGAAGTGTGCATCAGAGGGATGGGAAGAGAGGAACGTGCCCACGGGTGCTCTGAGCAGATGCCTCTTTTTGAACTAGTTTAACCCAGGGTAAATTATGTGGAATGTTCCTTGTGTTAAGTAATGGATCGATTACTATTAAATTTCAGATCTAATACATTAAATTGCACACTCTCTGAAACTCCTCCTTATGGTAAACAAAACCAGCTTTTAGCAGTGTGAAAACAGAGATGTGTATTTTTGCAATAAAGGAAAAGATTTAGGAATCCAATTTTCTTGTCAGGGCAATAGCATTTCTATTTATAGACCACATATATAATGTTCACTTTGCAGAAAATAAAGGCCAAAAAGAAGTATTTTTCCAAGAACGGAGCTTGTACCACCAGCCGATACTATGTAATATAAGCATAACACTAAAAATAGCAGTTACGAGGGGGAAGCAAATACAGCGTCTTCTCAATCAGGTTGTGGTTTCTCGGTCACTCTGTGCAATTGCAATTTATAGCAACTGCTTTTAAAATGTTTGTGCTTTTTATTATTCTCTTCTAGAAATCTCTTGTCGAGGGGAGCGAGTACGAGATTATTACCCAAAGCAGCAGGGCTATGCCGCTTGCCAAACCACCAAGAAGGTGTCCCGACTGGAATGCAAAGGCGGGTGTGCAGGCGGCCAGTGCTGTGGACCCCTGAGGAGCAAGAGACGGAAATACTCTTTTGAATGCACTGATGGGTCTTCATTTGTGGACGAGGTTGAGAAGGTGGTAAAGTGTGGCTGTACAAGGTGTGCCTCCTAGGTGACCCCCTGGCAGCTCTGGCCCTTGGAAAATGTTGTCTACTTATTGCCCCTGTTGGACTAATTAATGCTTCATAGTGGAAATATTTGAAATATATTGTAAAATACAGAACAGACTTATTTTTATTATGAGAATAAAGACTTTTTTTTTTTTTTTTTCTGCATTTGGAAAAAAAAATAATAAAAAAGAAACGCTTGAACTAAAGCTTCCCCAGCACTGGGGCGGTGTGAAGAATGATACACCAGGAGGCATTATAACCATGATGGGGACCATTGTAACTCAGATGCATATTTGTAACATGCTGAAGACGAACAGAAGCACACACCCAAGGACGACATATCTACTGTGTATTGATGTGAAATTGACCAGAACATAAACCCATGTGGCCTCATTCCCAGCAGCTCAGTTCACAAGGACATACCAAACACGTGTGTGAGTGAGGATCTAAGGCAGGGGAATGGGATGCCAAAATTCACAGATCCAACAGACTGATCAGGAAGATTTTGTGCAAAATAGAAAACGCTCTGACGATCTGGGTTCCATTCTTAAGCAGAAATAGGAGCGCTAAAATCAATTTTATCTTCTTTTTAAATGTCAGCATGTTAGCAGAAGCACACGAAAGTGTTCCTCTACCATTTTCCAGTATTAATTTTTTTTTTGTAATATAAATGATAAAGGAGATGATAAAGAACCAATAGATTATTGATAAATAAATTAGTAATAATATGAATTTTTGTTTCTATGAATTCTAAACAACCCTATACAGTATTCAGTTTCAAGGAGAAATATTTATTGTATCAAAGTACATTGTACTTAACATTTTAGGCCATCCTTTTGCCGTTTCTCGATGCTTTAATATATATTAATTTATAATTTTCCTGATATTTTTGTACATTTTTCAAACTTAAAATCAGGAATTTTTTTTTTTTTTTTTTTTTGGCAATAGTACTAACATAGGGTGTTATATTGGGATAAATAAGTGCTGATCCATTTGTTTACCATGACATTGGACCACTGGTGTCATTGACCTACTGCCCTAGACTAGAACACCTGCAAAAAGTATGTAAAGTCCAAAAGAGGAAGACCCAGATCTATGGGTGCAGTTGTCATTGTACAGAAAAAAGTGGCCCCTCTGAAACCTGTACTCACAGAAAAGAAATGGTGTGTAGCAATCGACACTAGAAAGTAGACCTTTGACAAATTAATATTTCCTTGAAGTTTTTTGCCCTTTTTGGGGGGAGTGTGGGGGTTGGAAGAGAAAAAGCTGTAATGTCAAGAACTGTGATTTTTTTTTCAAACAATAAAACTCCTTTATTGCTTTTCTGTTCCCATGTTGACATGTTTGCTGCTAAATTCCAATGTAGAATTGATCATTTGTAGTGAACTTTGCTCTTCCCTCATTAAAATCCCAGGGGACCCTGTAAAGATGCAGATGTTTCTTTCCAATGACTTTTTTTTTTAACAAAGAAAATTAGATGTACATGTATAATTCCCTGTGCTTTGTCTATATCCGGACTAATATCAGTTACACTACTGATGTTTGTAAATTAAACAGATATTTACTTCATGAACAGCTTGGTGATTTTCTTAGAAACTGCACAATTATTTAGAGGCCCCTCCTTAAGCATTTGTTAACCAAAGTAGTAAAGAACAGGGAACAAACCTTTACCTTGTTATTGCCAGAGATTGATTTGAGATTAACGTCATTACATGTGGGGATGTTGGAATGACCACATGACAGACATGACCAGAAGAGCACACTCTTTGCTTGTTGTTGTTGTTGTTATGTGCCGTCGAGTCAAACCCAACTCATAGCGACCCCTCCTTGGATTTCCGAGGCAGTATCAGTACGGAAGTAGGATTGCCCAACCTTCCTTCCGAAGAGTGGCTGGTGGGTTTGAACCGCCAGCCGTCTGGTTAGCAGGCAAGTGTCTTAGCCACTATGCTACCAGAAAATAGCTACGCTATTAATTTCTTTTTAAAAAATAATGATAAAGTGTGACTAAAACACAAATGCTGTTTTTGTTTTTGTTATTGGTAGTTTCTTTTCCCCTCAATTAGAACCACATGGAAAACAGCAGAAAACAAAGAGTACCTGTACTTTTCTGCACAAGTACTCTCAAGCAAGGGCTAGTAACATCGAGGTACGTCCTCCAGAACAAGAAACAGCATTGGCTGCATGGATGATCAATATTCATCCACCATGAAAGATTTCCTTGGTTTCCTGGAGAAAGACACAATCATTTATTCATACTTTTTCAAAATGTCTTCATTTTAATGATTGAAATACTACAGTGTTGTTCGCTGTCGTCCAGCTGATTCTGCTCATGGTGACCATATGTGCAGAAGAGAACTGCTCCGTAGGGTTTGCAAAGCTGTGATCTTCTGCGAGTAGATCACAGGCCTGACTTCCAAGGCACCTGTGAGTGGGTTTCAACACCTAATTTTTGGCTAGTAGTTGGGCACTTAACCATTTGCGCCACTCCAGGGCTTCCATTAAACCTATGGATCATTGTGCTTTTCTTGTTTTGGAGAGGGCCACACAGCTCAAAAACAGGTGCTGAATTCCTCCTCAGGCCTGCCAGGCTTCCTTATTTATGTACTAGTGGTAAAGACAGCAGCTAAGAAACTACAATGCTCTACTAAAGGGCTTAGGAACCTTAAAGTGTAATTCCCCTATATATTTCTTAGTTCAACATCACAGTGTTGTTTTAGGTGCCAGTGAGTTGACTCCAACTCACAGCAACTCTGTACAACAGAATAAAACAATGCCCAGTCCTCAGCCACTGTCACAAGCATTGCTATGCTTGACTTATTGTTGCAGCCAGTTTCATTTAATCTCCCTGAAGGTCTTCCTCTTTTTCGCTGACCCTGTGATTTATGAAGCATAATATACTTCTCCAGCAGTCCCACTTGATAACTTGTCCAAAGTTTGTGAGACAAAGTCTCACCATGCTCACTTTTAAGGAGTATTCTGGCTGTACTTCCTCCAAGACACATTTGTAAGTTCTACTGGAAGTTCAAGATATGTTCAGTATTCACTAACACCATAATTCAAAGGCATCGATTATTTGACCTTATTCATGGTCCAGCTTTCACATATGTGTGAGGCTATTCAAAATACCATGGCTTGGGTCAGTCACACCTTAGACCTCAAATCCTCAAAGTGAGATCTTTGCTCCTTAACTTTTTAAAGAGGTCCTTCATAGCAGATTTTCTCGGTGCAATATGATGTCTGATTTCATGATTACTGCTTCCATGCGTGTTGATTGTGGATCCAAGTAAAATGAAATCCCTGACAACTTCAATCTTTTCTCCATTTATCGTGATATTCTTTATTGCTCCAGTTGTGAGGATTTTTGTTTTCTTTATGTTGGTTGTAATCCAGAATGAAGACTGTAGTGTTTTATCTTCATCAGTAAGTGCTCCAAGTCTCTTCACTTTGAGCAAGCAAAGTTGTGTCACCTGCATATCACAGGTTGTTAATGAGTCTTCCACCAATATAATATGTTCTTTTTCATATAGTACAGCTTTTCAAATTAATTGCTTAGGATACAGATTGCAAGATTAGTAAGCCAGCCCAGGACCAGTGGAAGGTGGGTGTTTGTGTGGATTGCCCTGTGGCCAGGACGGATAAGTTAGCAGAGCAGGAGAGACCAGTAAATGAGTGGAGCAGTTTGGAACAGCTAAGGAAACAAAGTTGTCTGTCAGTTTCTGCTACAGTGGTGGCTTGAGGGTTTCTGTGAGGCTGGAGGCTATGTTACTGGTGTTTCAAATGCCAGCAGGGTTAACCATGGTGGACAGGTTTCAGCAGAGCTTCCAGACTAAGACAGACGTGGAAAAAGGAAGATGCCATCCACTTCTCAAAGAATTGGCCAGTGAAAATCTTATGAATAGCAGTGAAATACTGTCTGATAGAATACTGGAAAACTTTAGGAATAGCCCTGAAACATTGTGCGATATAGTGCCAGAAGATGAGCCCATCAGATTGGAAGGCACTCAAAAACAACTGGGGAAGAGGTGCCTCCTCAGAGTAGAGCCAACCTTAATAATATGGATGGAGTAAAGCTTTTGGAACCTCCATTTACTGATGTGGCATGTCTCAAGATGAGAAGAAACAATGGCAAGCATCCATTAAGAATCAGGACATGGAAAGTATGAAGGATGAATCTAGGGAAATTGGAAGTTGTCAAAATTGAGATGGAATGCATAAAGATTGATATCCTAGACATTAGTGAGTTGAAATGGACTTGTTTTGGGCCATTTTGAATCAGATGATTATATGATCTACTATGCTGGGAATGACAAATTGAAGAAGAATAGCATGACATTTATCATCACAAAGAATGCATCAAGATCTATCTTGAAGTATAATATTGTCAGTGATAGGGTAATATCCATATGCCTACAAGGAAGACCAATTAATACTACTATTATTCAAATTTATACACCAACCACCAAAGCCAAAGATGAGGAAATTGAAGATTTTTACCAACTTTTGCAATCTGAAAGTGACCAAACATGCAATTGAGATGTATTTATTATCACTGGTGACTGGAATGCAAAAGTTGGAAACAAGAATCACCGGTAATTGGAAAATTTGGCTTTGGTGATAGAAAAAACACTGGAGATCACATGATAGAATTTTGGAAGACCAACAAACTTATTCATTGTAAATACCTTTCCCAACAACACAAACCATGGCTATACATGTGGACTTAACCAGACAGAGTACACAGGGATCAGATTGACTACATCTGTGGCAAGAGGTGATGGAAAAGCTATATATCTTCAGCCAAAACCAGGCCAGGTGGAACAGACAATCAACTGCTCATATGCAAGTTCAATTTGAAGCTGACGACAATTAAAAGAAGTCCACGAAAGCCTAAGTATGACCTTGATTATATCCCTTCTGAATTTAGAAACCATCTCAAGAATGGATTTGATTCATCGAACACCAATGACCTAAAACCATAGAAATTGTGGGATGACATTAAGAA